TGGCCCAAGCGGCTTGTGTGTGGTTGCCGTGCCGTCCCTGAACCAGGTTGCCGCGCCGTTTGAACTGCAACAGAAGAGATCTTTCTTTTTGACCCATTACTTTCTCTCTAATAAATCTATATCCCACTTGAACAATGTGGTGAAGAACAAGGGTTTGAAACAAATGACTTAGAAAAACAAAGGGAGGGAGAGCCTCATTCAAGGGTGGAGAGCAGCCTCCAAAAGTTATTACAAGAGCAAAACAGAAAGCAGGGGGGATAAAAGGTGGGGAAAAAATCAACCAAAATTCCTCTGCATTTCTGTGCATTTCTGCTCAAAGCTAGGCAACTTTCCTTTTTTTTTTTTTATCACATGATGTAGTTATTGATCCTTCCCCAAATCACACTCTTAATTGCAACTCATGCTAATTATCACCTGGACCAGTCCTTAATTAGATTTCAACACTCATTTAATTAACCCTGATCCAAGAGACTGTTTGGTAACCTGGATGTAATGATTTAAACCTATTTGCAGCTGTATTGGAGGGAGGCACTTGTCCACAGCAGATTAGGTAGTTTAAAGCTGCTTTTGTAGCCCACAGAGTGGCTGCTGCAGTATGGTAGGCAGAATAGAACCTGGAGGACTACAAAGCTGAGTAGAGTGAATAACCACTCATCTCTCTAAGTGAGTTTTGAAGATATAACCTGCACTGTTTAGTAGGACAGGGAAGTGTAAATAAGTTGCTGTCTTCTTCCTACGCCTTTTCTTTCTCTCCCTATTTGCCCTGGAAGTCTTGGGGTCAGAGATCTGCCTTGGGGACTGGCTGATGCTTTGCATTTTTCAAAAACAAGCTATTATTGTAAATGGCACTGTGAAAACATGGGTAGCCTTCATATGAAGTTCTTGCCCTTGGAGTGTTCCTCCCTCCTGATGTGAGTCATAGTGACTGCACAGCAGCTGTTTGACCCCATGGAATCTGAGACTGCCTCTTGTGAGATATTTTTCTGGGTTGCCTGTCACAGCAGGACTTTGGGGCTCTTTGAACATCATTTCATATACACAGGGCAGAAAGGCCTTTGGCAAATCAAAGCAAGTTAGAGCATGCACAATGAAGAAAGAGGAGGAAAAGGAGCTTTTTTGTTTGTTTCTTAGAGAGTGCTCTCTGAAGAGAGATATGTGTAAGCACTCAATGGATATGTAGCCAGTAGAGCTGCTGCATTGGTTGTGAATATGAAGGTTAACCTTGGGGTGGAAAGGGTTCCCTGCATCTTGTCCTTTCACATGGCCTGAAGGAAATCAGACAGCAGAATCTATTGGATCATTCCATGCAGAAGTCTTAGTGGAGGAGTCAAACAACGCTGCTTACCTGCATTAACTGCAAGATTATTGTCTGCTCCAGTGACTTCATAGAAGTCACTAATCATAGAATCATAGAATGCTTAAGGTTGGAAGGGACATCTAGAGGTCATCTAGTCCAACCCCCCTGCACACACAGGGTCACCTAGAGCATGTGGCACAGGACTGCGTCCAAGGGAGTTTTGAAGATCTCCAGAAAAGGAGACTCCACAACCTCTCTGGGCAGCCTGTTCCAGTGCTCTGTCACCCTCACCGTTAAGAATTTTTTCCTTAAGTTCCTGTGGAACTTTTGATGCTTTAGTTTCTGGCTGTTTCCTCTAGTTCAATCCGTGGCCACCACTGAAAAGAGGCCAGCACTATCCATCCACTGGACTCTCTTCATTAGCTCCATATCCCTCTTGTACTGTGGAGCCCAGAACTGGACACAGTACTCCACATGCGGCCTCACCAGGGCTGAGTAGAGGGGCAGGATCCCCTCCCTCGACCTGCTGGAGATGCTCTTCTTAACGCACCCCAGGATCCCATTGGCCTTCTTGGCCACGAGGGCACACTGCTGCCTCAGGGTCAACTTGTCATCCACCATGACACCCAGGTCTTTCTCTGCAGAGCTGCCCTCCAGAAGGTCGGTCCCCAGCCTGTCCTGGTGTCTGGGGTTATTCCTCCCCAGGTGCAGGACCTTGCACTTGTCTTTGTTGAATTTCATGAGGTTTTTCACTGCCCACTTGTTCAGTCTGTCCAGGTCCCTCTGGATGGCAGTGCAGCCCTCTGGGCTATCAGATACTCCTCCCAGTTTGGTATCATCAGCAAACTTGCTGAGGCAGTGCTCCGTCCCTTCATCTAGGTCATTGAAGAATAAATTGAACAGGAATGGACCGAGTGTTGTCTAATCTATTAGACAACATTAGAAGGACCATGGAATGGGGCAGATGTTCAATGGGATAAAATCCCTGATACCTTCTGTGGAAGAATGGCCTGAAAAGGGGGAAACAGAGAAAAACTAGGGCCTAACCGAAGTTTTGGCATTACAAAAGCTTGCTTGGGGTGATACACAGTTGCCACTAACCAGGATGGCTGGTACGCATGGACTCGGCTCCTCCATGGTTCCCTAGGCAACACAATCTGCCCTCCATGCAGCTGCAAAGGGGAGTAATGGAGGCTGGAGCGGAGTGAAGACACCGCGGCCAAACTCTGTTGCACTCCCTGTGCTGGGTTGCTGATAAGCCACACAGTAGCTGTCCAATGGGAGATACATGATAACATGTCCGGTGCTGAGCCAGCAAGGGTGGCAAATCACACCTTTCGCTTGAACTTTGCTCATTATAATGTCAAAACACACCTCCATCCCAAAAATTACCTGCCTCCGAGGTATGACCATTCCTCACCGAGCATGTGCTCTATTTTTTTGATTGACTGTACCTTTAAATGAAAGCAAGAAACTTCTTCACCAATCAATAACAATATTAAGTATGAGTCTAGTCACTCAAGCTCCACCTGAATGTAAAGAAAAATATAAAAGGTGAACTAAGGATGAAAAGGAGGTGGGAAGAATCCATCGTAACTCTTGGGTCAGTTGACGGGCTGAGTCCCCTTTCCTCCCCTTGCGTCAGGACGCCGCCTGAGGAGACTCGAGACTGAGAGCCCTCTCCCATCTTCTGGGGTGAGTGATGATTGCACATTTGAACATCAGAGTTAGCGAAAAACCCCATGCTGTAGTAGAGAATTTCCTGTACTGACATCTGAAACCTGCTTTGTAAATGTTGCATTTGAATAAATCATACTGTTTGTGAACTCGACTACTTGTTTGGGGGGGGCGATCGGACCTACGGTCCACAGACTGTTTGTGAATCTGATACTGGCAGAGTTGGGCATATAGGTAACAGTATTTGATATTCCTCACCACCACCACTACGGCTTTCAAACTGCAACATTTTACACCTTCATCTAGACTAATTCTTGCTTTCCTCAAGCAGTTGAATCATGGTGTAAATCAGCCTTTGTCTGCTGATAAAGGCAATAGGCCTGATCATTTCCATCATTTATTAGTAATACTCAAGCTCCTCCTTGTTCTCTGGCTGTTAGACTGGACCACATAATTCCTCAACCCCCAAGAGAGTTATAATGGTTAAGTCATTTATGTTTGCAATGCATTTTGAGATGTGTGTGTAAATTCTGCATTTTACCAAGTGAAAGACACATTTATTTCTCTACCTTGCAGATTCGCAGTCAAAAGAGGCTGTTACAAAACTGAGCATTCTTACTAGTGCTTCTGCAGTAGGCTACTTGGAAAAAGCATTTATCTCCTTTCCCATCATATCAACCTCCTTTTTCAAGTACTTTGATATGTTCTGATGAAAAGAATAATATAAAGGCTAAGTATTATTATGCTTTCCCCATTTTCTCTTGGGCCAGCAGGTCTACTTAATATGACTCTCTTGCTTCCCATCCCCTTCCTGGGAGTGGTAATGAATTGTTCCCCTTAGTCAGCAGAGTTAGATGTTTTCTAGGCTGG